CTTTAGGTAACTTTCGGAACCACTGGCCTAGTGTATATTTTTCAGTCGCGAGTTTCAGCATTCCCGAGAATACTGCAAGTATCCCCTTCAAATAATTTGCAATAGAAACGGGAAATCAGCATCAGCATTCTTCGGATACATTAGCCATTGACTTTTGACTTGCGGTTTTCTTCAATTATCTTAAACCCCTATCACATCCAGCCATGCTAGGCGGGAAATTTCCGAGAATTTTCTAGTAGCTCTGGTTTAAACGGGAGGTTTCCGAGAAATGTCCCGTCTAGCTGACGAATAGATGTCTCAGCTACGAGGAACATTTTCAAACTTTTCCGAAAATGTTTCGTTTGCAGCTGTGTTCCACGTAGAAATCAACCAGTCAGACAAAAGTTCTACTTCTGAAGGATCACGGGTAATTATATATATATATATATATATATATATAATGTTGTATGATTTTAAATCCATTTAGTGCGAATACAAGTTATTACAACTTGCGCAATTGCTGCAAAGTTAGTTAATAATAATTTATTTCCTAAACAGTATTGATTAATTGATTATATTATCTCCTAAGTTTAATTAATATTGCTGTTTTGTTGTAATATGACTATCTAAGTCATTTTTAAAATGTATATATATTCGTTAAATTTATAATCGTGGGAATTTCAGAGTAGACAGTATTTTATCACGTGCTTGTACTTTTGATGATTTGTTTATAAATTATTCATCGCCAAAAGTTCCCCAAATTTGTTTTATTTCGTGCTGACCGTGTGAAAAGAAATGTTATCTTTGTTATATAATAGAATATTTTTTATTAAATTTAAGGTGACTAATTTTTAAAAATCAGTTTGTATATGCGTGACTTTTCTTTTCTGCTAATTACTTATCTTTTAAATTATTTATTGCATAATCAGTAACATACTGTAAACAACATAAAAGGTGCGTAGGAAAAGGAAAGCATAGCTTATGTAATAATGAGAATACACATTAAATTTGTATGCTATATTCTCATGTTATTAATCAAATACTTTTTAGATTATAAATACATTAAGAACTATTTTTTTTATTATAAATGCTACATATTGAAACATTGGAAGTTTATGGATTTATTATTATGTATAATGAAAAACATTTATATACACGTTCATTAATATAAAACTTATTCATTACATTAATACTAATAAACATACATCAACAACTTCTAAACCATCGCATCTCTCTATATGCGTATCTAAATATATGACTTATTAGATGTGTGTTTATTTATGAATATTAAAAGGAACATTGCCAAGAAGTTTATTTGAAGTCACTTCTAATTCATATAACGATCATGTAAATGGCAACAACTGTAGTCATCAGTTCTTTGCACAATATCCTGGATATAGAATACACAGTTGAAAAATAATTGAAGTCATAATTGAAGTGCATTTTGTGCATTAGACTAGTCATTAAAATTCATCCATTAGACTAGTCATTAAATTCCATCCACACACAACCTTTGCATTTGTAATTATACTTGGAAATTTAAATAAAAAAATTGAGCAAGTAGCCTCTACGAAATATTTAACATTTTGGGGATGAAATAAAAATTTTTGACTCATCACAAAAACAAATGTCAGTAAATGACATTATATTATGTACATAAAAGTTATTAAATAAATATATGAATACAAAATACTATTTACAATAATAAAATCAGAAATAATGACAAATCACTGAATGTAAGATGAAAAGGTATTTACAAAAATATATAAAACAGATCATTACAAAGAATCGAAGTAAAATAATATACATAACTAACAATAATGTTTGAAATGAAAAGAGTGTGAGCAATACAAAGTATAACACGAAAAAAGCAATCCAAGCAAACGTCTCTCTCGCCAATCTGAGCGATAACTGATTCCTATTTGGCTTTCAAGTCTGTTTACCAAGTGACGATTGTAACCCAGTTATGTAGGTTTCATGGAAATGAGGCTCTGAGAAATGTTTCTTTCGCCGCCGTGTTCCGGCTACGAATAGTGTATGTGATAGGAGTTTTAAACAAGTTTTCGAAGAAACAACGGTTACTTCTCTTGGACATGTATCAGTTTTCTGTTGATTTGGTCCTGATATGACAACATGATCTCAAGTTCTAACGTCTCTCTTCCAGATCGGTGAACCTGATTAGTTTTTTCCAAGGTCTTCATCATCTTCACTGAACGTGTTGCACTTTGTGACTTATTGCTGTTGTCTGTGTATCGGCAAACTTGAATAGTTTCATCAGTAGATATCGAAGTTGCATCAGACCATATATCAGAGACACTTCCTAAAGTTGTTCCATCGCTGATGCGTTTTTAACATTTATTCTGTCTACTTCTCCTTGAGATGAGCTTTCAAGCACTAAATTTTCCAAATTCTCTGCTTCCACAAATGTTTCTTGTTTTAAGAATTTACTCAACTAACCGCATAGTTTTCTAATTTCTTCTGTCACCTTAGCGTTTATTTTTCCATATTCATATCCAGATAGCTTTGTTTTCTTCATTCTTTTAAATATACATAACAGTGAATAAAAAAAGACCTTTAATAATACTATTGAAATAAATGTAATCCTCACTTGAACTACTGGTATATTATAGATTTAAAATCAAGTGGGAAATGATTCGATGATAATTGACATCGATTAGCCAATACCTTACAATACAAAGGCAAAATAACTATAGCAACATGCATGCATACTAAAATTAAAAGCACAAATAGGATTTTTAAATGAAGAAATAAAATAACAGTTGGAAAATTAGAGACTATCCATTGCAAACAAATAACATGCCTAGTCAGAAGCTAGTTTTAGACTTGTAAAATAATAATAATAAAATATAAACAACAATCTCCTCTTTAAAGAAAGAAGTAATTTCAGCATTCACTTGTCCCTCACTCTACGTTTCACTTTAAACGTCCAGATGTCGTGTTTTCTAAGTGCGGACGCTCTTTCTAATAAATATTTGGCGCACGCTTTTCGGCTTAGGTTACATTCAAGAACCCAGTCCTTGGCTGTCTTAACACAGTATTCTAGTATATTATCCTTGTCCTTTTTTTTAGTATTGTTGCCCCTTATGAGAAAAACTTGACTGGTGCTTTAGGATGCTCCTATATCATCTATGCCTGGAACCGGCTCTGCGTTTGCGGGGAAACCACGAAAGCGATCGTGCAAATGACCCTTTGAATCACTTGAAAAGAAAAATTTTTAAACCAGCGATAGCATTTCGTTGTCAGACACTAACAAAGTGATTGAGTCCATAGCAATTTTCATTCTTGAAGTAATCCTTAAAATGTAAAGCTGGCGTTTTGAGCTATTTATCTCTTTTCGTGCAGTATTTAGGAAGTACGCTCTATAACTTAAAAAGCGACGCACCAAGAAGAAGTTATTCGAATGGGACGAAACTGAGTATACCCATACCTTACGACAGAATATGCAAATGATTAACTTTTGACGGCCTATGACTGACTAGCTGGAGCTTCAGCGCATTGAAACGGAACATTCGAATGGTGTCTAAAAAAGAGATTTCGATGCTAAGGCATAACTTCCATGTAAACGGGGTTCCGTCGAACAACGCGGACTGCGCCAGTGCCTTGCAGATGGGTTAGAAAACATTATGAGCATTTGTTGTCATAATTTGAAAGACGACATGCATTTGGACTAAAGGAATCGAGGTGGTCAAATCCTTAGATCGCTAGACATTTGATCGGAGCCAAGCTACCTTTCAGGGATGTTGGCAGGAAGGGGGTGAATCATGGCTAAACAGAGCGTTAAGAAGGTAGCAGTCAACAGAAGGCTGGGACAGAGTGATCCTAGGATTTTGTCACTTACAGCCCTGATGAGTCTTTATAAACGATCCGACATGTAACAAGGACACCAGCGACTGCAATGACCATTGATAGGCGACTCAGCGAACGGGGACTGAGGTCACGGGGGCCATTCCCCGACTGTTCCTCACCGCTGCGCACCGCCAGGCACGTTTGCAGTGGTGCCGGGTGCATTCGATCTGAGATGTCACGGACTGGAATAGAATAAATTGTCAGCGATGAGTCCCGCTTCGAAATGAGCCCTTATGTTCAGCGAAGACGTGTCTGGAGATGTCTGGAACAGCGGTGGAATGTTCACTTGACTGTCGTCTGCCACACTACCCCAAAACCAGAGGCTATTGTATTGGGTGCTATTTCATTTGACAGCCTTTTGGCTGTCATCCCGACACGGTGGAATGTCGATGAGATTCTACATACCCCTGGGCTTACATTTCAACAAGATATTGCCCGACCGCACAAGACATGCCTTTCAGCTGCTTATCTTCATGCTTCACCAAAGCTTTCCTGGCTGACGCAATCACCAGATATCTTCCTAATAGAGCACGTTTGGGATTTGATGAACAGACGTTTCGTGCAGATCTAACTCGCCAGTTGGAGCGTGTATAGCAAGCAGTCTCACAGTAGGACATCCGACAACTTTACGAGCCGGATAACAGCTTACATCAAGACCTGAGATGAACCAACGACTACTAAATTTTTTCTCTTGTAGTTGTATTTCCTAAATAAAACATTCAGTTCGTATAATATTGTTCCTATAATATCATTTTCAATACGTGTACATCACATCTACCGATTTTCGTCCATTCGGATAACTCCTTCTTGGTGCCATTTATTTTTTACAGTTTAAAAGCTAAGTCTTCCTTCTATAGCTGTTTTTTTAATTAGATAAAACAGTAATCTTAGCTTGTTGCAGGTTTTGAATATAACTTAAGGGCAATCAAACATAGGTCCCTCTTCTTTAAGAGCAGAAATTTGTCTGATTGCTCTCGAATTGCACAATTTTATTTAAAATCCATTCTAATCTAAGGCTGGTGTCTTTTATTTAATTTTAACTATCACATTTATTTATACCCAAAGTAAAGGGATTTTCCACTTTTTCTTTTAATATAAAGTATCTTAATTTACATAGATAATGTGCTTGAGGTAAACGTGTTTTTATTTTTCAGAACTTTGGCGGCTATAAAATTTTTGGTGGATAAATATGGAACTCAAATTTTGTGTGAAAAAGATGAAAACGGTCATACAGCAGCTCACTGGGCGTGTCTGGGTGGACATCTTAATGTTATTCAATACATGATAGACAATGGAGTGTCTATTAATATTCCTAGTTCAAGTCACATTGGTGCCTATCCCATACATTGGGCATGTGTAGAAGGACATGTATCCATTGTGGACTTTCTCCTGCGGGTAAGTTTAACGAATCGTTTAACTCTGTAAATACAACTTTTCATGTAAAATAATGTTTTGCTCATTAAATTTAAAATTTTAAAAATCATGTAAGAAATAATACTTATCATTAATTTTATATACCAACATATACTTAAATCTGTCTAATCTATCAATCTATGCTTTTTTTCAAGAAAATGTTTATCAGTCCCTTCTCCACGTAAAAATGACTGTTAGATGTTTATAAACTTCATCTTTTCTCGTTGTATAGGAAAACAAGTTTGTCAATATCAGTCTTAGAAAAAATAAACCAGCAAAAAGCATATATCCAGCAAATCACCAGCAAAAAGCATAAAATCAAGCACATAAGTGATGTTTATACTCTTATTTATTTTGAAGCTTTGTTGTAAAGTGTTTGACTTATAAATTCTTACTCTTTTAATTTTAGCAAATAACATAAAATGTATAGGCTGACATGTATCGCAGTTACAGATGAATAGAAAACCTGTACGATGATACTGAACGTTTTGTATGCAGTTACATGATAAGAGTAGTTAATTGCTTGGTTTTGTCCACAGTATCAGACATATAGTACTGCCATCTCGTGCAGCATTCGTTTTCGCTGTCCCGTTACTGGAATAAGCTTGAAAATAGAAGTTTATTTAATGCACGATCTTAAAATATTTCTCTTTCCATTGCAATGCCGCATTTGGGCAAACGATACTCAATCAAGTTTCTCTTGTACGGTTTTTTCCGTCGGAAAATATCAGGTTGCTGAGTTTGCACAAAAGCCTGCAAACAAAATAATGATCTGTTTTCACAAAGTCTAGAACTAACTTTTATAAAATATATAAATTTCCCTAAAATTAACATCAGCAATAAAATCTATAATGACTATAATGAGAAATTTATTGCATTTGTCTATGCAATTGAGTTAAGTGGATATACAAACACGATAAATTTCTTCAAGTAAAAGCCAATTTAATACCTGTTTTAATACGAAGATTTTCTGCTTTTATAAGCAACAGGCCAAACTGTAGTTTTACAAGAACTGCATTTAAGAATCACAAATCTAAAGTAACATTAAATCAAACAGTTACGATTTCTCTGCTTTATACAGCTGTTTGGCATTAATACTCAATGCTCAATAAGGAAACCGATGATCGTCTTTAGTAAAATACCACCATATTCTATACGAAGCACGTAGGTATGCATAATTCAGTTTCGCAGTGTTTGACGGAGGTATGCTTTGATATAAGAATTTAAAATAGTCATCTTTCCCAAGTTCAGAGCAGGAAGAACACACAATAAATTTTAAGGCTTATTTTTCAAGATGATTGACCGAATATCAATAAACCTGTACTAATAGTCTTTAGAACCCTCTTCTCATATTATATATAAAAATTTCAAAACAGCTTGAATATCAGTAAAAGCAAAATTCGATCATTATTTGGTGTTGATGGCAACTTAAAAGGCTGTCTGAATTCTGAGAGACAGAAGTATTGGTCACCTCTCGTTAGGAGTAAATACAATTTGAAGATGCTCAAGTGGCGCGAATTCTAGCAGTAAGGTCTGAAAATAAAGTCATTGAGGAGTGTGATGTAAGAAAACTGACAGAGTAGGACTCAGAATGGAACGAACAGGTGGAAGGAAGGAAAAAGAAGTGACTACTGCACTATGCGATAAGGCAAAATAAATTGTCAAATCGGGGGAGAAATTTCAAAACCTAAAAAATGAGATAAAATCTGCTAAAGATTTGATGAGAACGTGCCATCCAGGGAAAAGCATGATAAATATAAGAAACTTGGCGTTTATTATATATGAATGCCAAATAAAAACAATATATAATAAGTAAGGAACAATTTCAAGAAACGAAATAAGAAATATAAAATGTATGATAAATATTTAAAAAAGAGAATTGCAAAGTAAAATTATAAGGGACAAGAAGAGCTATGTACAGGTGAAAAAGGAATTATACATGTAGTATAGAAAGTTGTACAGGTATATCATAAAGCAAAGAATATTTTACAAGACATCAGATAAATTTGTGGTGTCCCAAAATACGATGAAATTTTACGCCATGTACTGAGAAAAACCGGAGAAAGAAGAAAAAAGGAGAAGCAGAAATAAATAAACAAGATAAATTTTGTATACTCAGCTTGGATAGTGAGAGCATACATCAGAGTCAACTAAAGCTGACAAATGCTGGTAAATGTTAAATAAAACGTTCCCAAGAAATTCAACTTCACTAAATTGAGAAATTTTTAATACAACTTAAATTATATATATATATATATATATATATATATATTCTGATTTCTTTCTTTCTTTTTTTTAAAAAGAGTGTTACGGGCATCGAAATGCATTGAGACTTTTTGCTTATTATGAATACTAAATAACAGTTGAGTTTAACAAATTATTACAAATATTTTTCCGAGATGTGTAGCAAACAAAGATAGAATTCTGGAGATGTAAATTGACAGCTATATTGGGTTAATGAATGGCACTATAGAAACTACTTCATTACGAAGGAAAGCAATTAGCAGAATCATATTTATTCACAAATACATTATAACGTTAGCGGGAATCCTTAAAATTTCAGGCAGTTTTGAGGTACGGATCATACACACATCATTACCCAGAGCATCGACTTCTTTCAAAAATAGTAAATATTATACAAACCGTCATGGAATCGAACAATCGGGTTCAGTTCTATACCAGAATTCATATATTGATTAGATGATGCGTGTTGTGTCAGTCTCTCTGCAGTCACTGATGAGACGTTTCCAGTCGATGACAAAACTGAAGATCGTCCCCTGCCAAAGCAGACGTCACACACACTGTGTACTCAAGACACGTAACGAAGGAAACCTGGAGTCTCATTCTGTCCTGTTAAGAGTGAGGCGACGAAGGTCCCGACGACATGGCACAGCCACGAGCAGTAAATTTCAGTAATATAACGGTGGCTGGAGAAAGCACTACACCATCAGTCCAGATGCTGGGTCTGTATCATGTTGAAGAATACAAGCTTCCAAGATGCTTTCTCCTTTAGCCTTGCTAATATCGGTACGGCCATCATGATGCTGTAAACAAATGCAAGATTCGTTGGAAAAGACGAGGCCATGCCAAAAGACAACGCAAGGATGCATCCTTGTGTACCTCTGAATGCAACACCATAGGCACTGATTCCTCTGCACTAGCATCAAAGAAGCTGATGCAGTGATTACCTTGTTGATAACTAATGGTTTTTTAGATGTTGTTGTATCATACGTTCGGATATTTGGTGCTATGCTTCGCAAGCAGATTCTTGACCAAGGGTACATGATGTGACTGTACGATCCTAAGCGCGATGAGGGTATGATATCTGTTGTTTCGGGCATGGAACAGTGGAGCCGTTGTGATCCCGTATTTTACTCTGTGCGGCCCTCAGTGGACATACCAATAATAAATTCTGATAACAGTCCTTGGATTTCAAACCAACGCGAGCGGCAGTTGCAGGGTACAGTAATCCGCAGTTCCAGTTACGATTCTCTGGGGATCAAATTTTCAATTTTGATGGTCCTTTTTCTTCATATGAGACATAAAACGTCCTCCAAAGCAAAAGGCAACGAGTAAACGGGATTCCCGAATGCAAAATCGGCATTTCAGTCTACCTTCTGTATACTGATTTCAGGTGTCATTGCTCTTGCTTATAACACGAGCATTCTATTCATTTTGATATTCTAGCAGCCTTTCATGTAAATATAAGGTCTTTTGTACGCTTCCCTCGTAATACAACAGTTTTAATGTCCGTGCTCCATTATTAAAGAACATGCGTGCTGAAGAATGTTTGTGTACACATTAGTACACTATATGAGCAAACGTAAACTAACACTCCTTCGGAGAAGTAGATGTGGCATTTATCATGGTCTGAAACATCATCATACGATATTAAGGGGCTGCTATATAATGAGTATGTCAGCACATTTGAATGATATGTGAAGGAAATTGTATGTCCGTGGTGACAGTGATCCCTCCTGAGTTTCAAAGTGCGTCTGGCGTCGTAATTAGTACCTAGATATTTCTTCGGAAGTTGAAAAGTATGAATATCCACGAATATGCGACTGCTTACAAGCTTAGCATAAATATGGTCAGTGTGAAACGCCAATCGCAAGACACAAAGCTCATCGCCGTTGGACTGTGGAACAGTAGAAAAAGTTTTTAGTCGGAATGAAGCTTGCTACTCGATCTGGAGGTCTTATGAATGCACGTGGGATTACAGGAGTGTATATCCGATTGTATTGTGTCAATAACTGACAATGGTGACGGAGGCATCATGATTTGGAGCTAGTTGCGTAGATCAACCTGAATCTCTTAGTTTCTGTTGTCTGAAAAGTGAATGCTGAAATCTTTCTTGATATTTTTGATAACTCTGCCCTTCCAGCCTTCTGGCAACAGTTTCAGGAAGGAAAGTTTCTGTATCAACAGTGCAACCCTTTTGTCCAAACAGAGAAAACCACGCTTCCTTTGTTTGAAAAAGATGATTATTGAAAAACTGGATTGTTTTTCACACAGTTTCGATTTTAACTTCACTGAACACCTCTGGAAAGAATTAAAACGCACCTGATTAAATCGCATCTTCTGTGGCTAGACTCATTGCAGCTCTCATAGACAACGTAATTCGCGGCAGCCATACATCAAAAGCTGATGGAAAGTTTTCCCAGACAAGTGAAGGATATTAGGGATACAAACGGTAAACTGAAATCATACTACTATAGGCCACACGAGTCTCTGATTTTTAATGAACGTCTGTGTCAGTGGATGCCCGGATACCTTTGGCCGCATAATGTGGTAATCGCTTACATTATGTATTACAAGCTAGAGAGGCAACACGAAAGAAAATGCATGTTTTGGAAGTCATCGATTGAACTTCACATTGTTCTACCGAATTATTGCAGTATACGCTAGGAAAAGTAGGAATAATTAGCAATATATATATATATATATATATCTTTTTATAAGTAAAAAATGTGAAGTTATAATGTACCCAAATTTCTTGCAGAATGGTGTGCCCATGGACATTTGTGATATTAATGGGTGTACTCCTCTCATAACAGCCAGTCAGCATGGTAACAGTCATTTGGTTTGCTATCTGCTTGGCCGTGGTGCAAATAAAGCTATCTGTGATCGCAATGGAGACACCGCTCTACATTGGGCAGCATATAAAGGTCAGAATTGTATACCTTATCATTATTTTATGGCAAATTTCTGTTTATTAATGTAAAAGTTTTTCAAAATATTTTCAATGCAATTTTAAAAAATGGGAATTAAATATTTATTATAATTAAAAATTAATAACATTTAGTCAAATTTCAAAGCAAAATGATTCAATGGTTGCAAGTATCAGAACCTATACTATTTAAATTCATATATTAGTTAAGAACATATACTACTTAAAAGCATGTAATAGTTAAGTAGTTAATTATACTAAAATTCATGTACACTAAGCATTGCGTCCTAATTTTGGCCAACCTCTTCTCATTCATTCATGCAGTCTTGAGTTAAATAATAAATATACTTTGTATATTTTATTGGTTTCATTATCATTCAAAACTACTGAGTTCAAGTGCCAGTTAGGCATAAAATTTGTATTGTTTCGATATCTATTATATGCAATAATTCCTACTTTAGTGAAACTCCGTGCACAACAATTCCTGTTGTGCGATATATCAAATTAATTTGGCTGTGAAAATTCAGTCATTTTATATTTCAGTTGGATTCTTTCGTGCATATTTACTTTTGGTTCATATCCAAGTCTTGACAGCTTCGTTTAAAATAATAGGCCAAATGTCGAAATGTTACCTCACATTTTGAATCTTTGCCCAAATATTTTTTTTTCTTTGCCGAATAGAGCCATTGCCATCCTTTACATTTTCAACAACTGAACTTCGTTTAGTTCTAAAATCTAAAAATATATCGACAGTGTTCTGTTAAGAGTCCGAGTAAAGTTCGGTCTCTTGCCGAAATGTCAGATTGTAAATAGATTTCACCTTCAGACATCTTTTATTTTTCTCTCTTTTCTACCACAGTCTTCGAAAATATTGTGTTCAAAATAAACATTCTCACATACATTTATCTAAAATGAGAGTAAAGTTCTCATACAGTTAATTAAGAAGCGTTAGTAAGTTGTATAAGCAAATATTTTACAAACTGATGTCAATATGTTAAAATAAAGTATTAAGATTAATGTGAAATAATGTACATGAGCAGCTTTGTTCCTTTCAAAATCAGTTGATCTATAAGGTACAGATTATTCATTTTTCTATCTCTTTCTAATTATTTGCGTAAGGAACTCTATCTTCATGTAAACACTCACACTACCTGAAGTCTTTAAAAATAGACGTCAGTAGTTTTCATAAAGGAAATCACACGCATGGGATTAAAAAATATACCATTTTCCTGTCTAGTACCACTGAAGTCATTACCAGTCTTTTCTTATTTTATCATTAACTAATTCTTTTATATTCCATTTGAACTTTGTTTGTTCAAAAATCGTAGGACAGATTATAAACAAAAGAAATATCCAGAAGTAAAGTTCTTCGGACAGATTTTTAGTAAAGATCAGACTTGGTGATTCTCAACCAGGTCAAAGTAGAAACCTGACTGGAGAAAACTGGAGAAGCCTTTATTATCCGAAAATCCACATAGTTTTGCTTGACTTTTAATTAATTACATTATGATGTGTCCATCTTCTTTGCAATTTCGTTTCAAGAACCTTTCCGAGCCTTTGTAAATGTGATTCTATTAGAAAGAATGTCCAGCGAAATCGGAAATGATCTATAATCTACTTCTTCTGAATGGACTTTATAACATAATCGTCCATAGCTACTTTGCGAAGCTGTTTTTGAAATTAATAAATAAAGAAAAAGTAGTGAGTTACTCGTAGTGTAGAAAATAATTTTGACGAGAAGAGTCATTTTACACAGCTTCAAATGAAATACTTTTCTTCTTTTAAATGTTTCGAAAATGCAAGTTAGTGACTAGATTATACGAGCCAAAGGTGATAGGTAAAGAAAATCAATGTATGATTTTATGGGAAAATTTCCACAATCGAGCCAAATATTCTGCTGATTTTTCCAATTTCAGCCCCAAATTTATGAGATATATATCTCGAATATGAACTATAAAATTTCATGAAGTAAAACCGTGAATTTTTCTAATTTTTTTGTTCATGTACATAAATGAGTCTAATTTCCTGCAACATAAAAAGTAAAACTGAAGTGCTTTGACAAGATTTTGACTGCGTATTTGCATTTGGAAGATTTTGACGAATTTAAATAATAATATAAATATTTAAGAAGCAAAATGAGTTAAGAAGGAGATAATCTCTATTTAGCTAAAACGTAAGTAATGAAGTGACGACATGTTGAAAAAAGAAGATAAACAGAAAAGATATATTTAAGTCATGACATTTAAAGAAAAAAATTAATTTTTTATAATATAGTGTAGGTTTCTTTAGCGCTGCAAAATTTCCAGTACTTCTGATGAAGAGGATTGTGTTTATGATATTCTTTTAATTAATGTGCAAGCCAACCTATAGGAAGTCTCGACTGCAATAACTTTTTACCATAAAATAATAATAATTATTATTACTATTTGTTAATTCTAACTCCTCGAGTTCCAAAAAGTTTACCACGACGCTTACACATAATACGTTATTAGCACTAACAAAGAAAATAAACAAATACACAATAACACTGAAAAAGGGGAAATTATACAAAAAATAATAATTAAATAAGAATAAGTAATAAGTAATCGTATTGTCATTGCTTTTTTTGTAAATGCGTCAATATTTCAAGCTCTAAATAAATTTAACTTTTTCCACATTGTCTTCATTTTTGAATTTTGGCTCTAAAGATAATTATAACAGTTGTGCTGTTATTGTATGAAATAATATTGGAAAAAAGTAGCCGCATTAGATAGTTGCTGACAAGTAGACAGCTCATCCTGCAAACACTCAATATATATACTATTTTCTCTTTATTATGACTTTTCTGTCAAAAAACTCGGCCCACCAGCGGCCGAGCGGTAACGTCGCTGAACACTGGTAGTTCTGTCCGAGGTTCGAATCCCGCGAACGGGCTGGCTGCATGGGTGCTTTCGTGGTTTTCCCCATGTGTAACGTGTATACGAGCCAGTTTCCCTTAATAAGTCCTCCATGAAGGCATCCCTCCCTTAATGCAGATAGCCCTCGAGTGCTTTGCCGTATTTAATAAGCCAAGCCAAGCTGTCAAAAAAATCTTTTTTTTTTTCTTCTAATTTTTACTGAATGAATAGAGCATTTAATGTTTATAGTTTACAAAATATATGTTAATTGAATGATTTTATAAATGATAGTTTTTATAAATCAGCATTAATCTGTTAAAATTAAGCTTGTGGTCACTTAAAAATTAAATGAGGAAAATCTAAAGAAAAGGATATTGACATCATTTATTATTCCTATTTCAAGAGTCAATCGCATCTGTAAATACAGTGGATGGACAAAAATATGGAAACACCTTGTGAAATGCATGTTTGAAAAGAAAGATTGATTTTAATGAAATATGTAGGTGGCGCTGGCGTTTTTGACTACTGACGCCACCTATACAACTTCGTAAATGCGCTAAACAGTTTAGTTGTTTTCCAAGTACTGTTATGTGAGGTTGTCATTGCATTATGTCAGAGTTAACAGACTTCGAACGTGGGCAAATTGTTAGAGCACGTTTGGTAGGTGCTTCCGTAAGCAAGGTAGCCGAGGTGTTTAGTGTTTCAAGAGGTACTGTATCGAAGATTTATTCCGCATATTTGAAAAGCGGAAAAACATCATCTGCTAAATCACAGTGCGGACGAAAGTGTATCCTGAGTGATTGTGACAGACGATCATTAAGGGCAATTGTGACGAAAAATAAGAAGACCACAGCTGCAAAAGTTACTGCTGAAATGAATGTTGTGTTACCGAACCCTGTGAGTACCAAAACAATTAAAAGGGAGCTTCATAAACAGGGAATTGCTGGCCGTGCTGCAATTGAGAAGCCACTCATCAGTGATGCTAATGCCCGTAACAGGAAAAGGTGATGTTTAAGTCATAAAGCCTGGACTATAGAGCAGTGGAAGGGAGTAATATGGTCTGACGAGTCTTCTTTCACATTGTTTCCCACTTCCGGCCGAGTTTACGTCTGGAGAACACCATCACAAGCCTATAATACAGACTGCTTGTTGCCAAGAGTGAAACATGGCGGGGGTTCTGTTATGGTTTGGGCAGCCATATCGTGGTTCTCTACTAGCCCCATGATAACTGTGTCAGGGCACATGACTGCCAAGACTTATGTGAACATTTTGGCCGATCAAGTTCATCCCATGGTACAAACTTTGTTCCCCGATGGTGATGGTGTCTTCCAAGACGACAAAGCCCATCTTCACACAGCTCACATTGTCCAGGACTGGTTTTCTGAGCACGAGGATGAGTTGTACCATCTTCCCTGGCCACCACAGTCACCAGACCTGGATATTATCGAACCTTTGTGGTCTACATTGGAACGGAAAGTGCGTTCTCGTTATCCACCGCCAACATCGTTATCTGAACTTGCCACCGTTTTGCAGGAAAAATGGTATAATATTCCCTTGGCAAACATACAGGAACTGTATTTATTCATTCCGAGAAGACTGCAAGCTGTTTTGGATGCCAACGGGTTTCCTACACCATATTAAGCAAAGAAACATGTTTTTTTAAAGGTGTTTCCATATTTTTGTCCAACCCCTGTACATTTCTGTGCATGTCGGTGTTTTTTAAACAGTATTTTAAGTTACCTGTATGACAATAATCTCTTCTACCTTCTCTCTAGGTTATCCAGACCTTATGCGTTTGTTAATTTACTCAGGCTTTGATCCTCGATTGAAAGACAATTTTGGGTATACTTCATTGCACTTAGCATGCATAAGTGGTAATCTTGTTGCTGTAGAAGACCTCTGCGAAAAGGTGAGTTTCATCTAAAAATTTTGATTAAAAAAAAGAACTGTTTAAACGAGAAATTTTTGCGAATACCTCCCAATATTTTATGACAAGGTATTTAAGTCGCGACACACTGGTTGACAAAGGCTGTTGTAGACTTTAGCGTATTTACTGTTAATTGTTAAACCTTTTCTTCCATACTGGGCTTCAGAAATCTTATTTTATGAATTTTTTGAAATATTTAGTTTTCAAAAATTTCGTTCAGAAAATGCTTAAATTGGATCTTGGCGAAATAAGAATATTTTTCTTAGCAATTCACGTGATTTTCCGAAGCAAAATAAAAAGATTTATTTAAAATCGTTATGTAAATACTATTACAGACATTAATAGAAGACGTTTACAACAACACCTGTGGATATACTCTATAATTGCAGCTAAATTACAGTCTTACGCAGTTTGATTTTATATAACTTAAAAATTGCAAGAATGGATAATTATTTTCATAAATTATGTCTTACATTCTGTTGTATCTATAGAACAATGGGACTACTGATATTTCTTTTCTTAATTTCAGACTGAACAATCTCAAACTGAATAACTGATTGATGTATTCGGAGAACTGTCTTTTTTATTTTTCATTTTGCGTTTTTTGTTCATTTAGGATAAAATCGAATTGGACCTGACAGACAAAGAGAATAGAACACCGTTACAGCTAGCGGAAGAACAAGGCCAAACTGATATAGTTGATTACTTGAAACAAGAAATACGAAAAAGAAAATTTATTTTTTCAAACTTCGATGTCTGGTAAGCATTCTATAAAATTCCTTTAAAATTAATTAGTAGAATATTGATTACATGTAACTACAATATAATACTCTTCCAATTAATTTTAGGCAATTAGTGTTTGGTACAAATGGGCACAGCAAAGGACCTTTGTTTTTTCTACTCGGAACTCTTTTCTTCTGGGGGTACCCTATGTATATTTTAAAGGTAAATTTCATTTTTATATATTCATTTTAAGAATACATTTCTTAGTGAATTTGCTTTTACTTAATGGTGCGAGTGCATTGAGTGGCTTTTTTATTACACGCAATTATTTTTTTTTAATGAGTCGCCAAGAAGCTTAATTTTGAAGAATATCCTTAAACTTAGCTGTCGCCAGGATAACACGTCAGTTCTTTATCTCCTCACAGTTGACAGAATTCCAAAGTATTTAAATTTGTTATCGATATAAAAATTTCTCTTACTACGTTCTTCTGAAGATGCACTCTTTAGCAAAACCGTTTAGCATCCAAAAGCTGTTTCCTCGCTGGCTGTTGAAAACAATTCCATTACTTGAATTCTCTTATTCGTTTCCTTTGCATAGTCATCACCATCATAAACAATTTCAATATGAGGGTTGCATCTTACAGAAAGAAATTTAGCTCATATTTTTCCCAGATGTTGTCCATTCTTGGAATCCTTCAGTCTTGGTGCCCAGATTGGTCTATTTTTAGCTGTTTCATCTGAAATGTCCTAGTCTGGTATATTACGAAAAAAACAGTTTATTTAATTAATTAATGAAATCAGCCTTTCTAGCAATTACCCAAATCTAAGAGTGCCGGAACAAAAATTAAAATTAATCTCTTAACTTGAATCTAATGATTGATACGACATCTGTTTAAATTAATACATACCCGAAAGTAAGTTAACTGAATTAAAAACATCGCTGAAAGTGAAGTAAATCGCTTATTCTTCTCTAGTGCTGTGGAACTGAATCACTATATATTTTTTAGTAATAATGAAATTGCATCTCACTCTAAAATTCTAAAAAGGCTATCGTTCTGTACTTCACTAAAATCGCTGCTTTCTGAAAACACACGCTTTACATAAATCCCAACACACATTTCTATACACTAGAGATAGCTTAGTTTAAACCAAGGGTTTTCGACGGAGTCATTATTGACGCACTTTGAAGTTTATGAAATTTTAAAGAAAGTCGAATGGGAATCGATAGCTGAATATCCACCGGCAATTGGTCAGTACAATTATAGGATCTAACTCTTTTAGGCCACATAAACTAATTTAGATCCTAGTAATAAACCTGGCGACTTCTCGCGCAGGCGTGAAATAATACCAGCACAGAAGAAGGATAAGAATAACCTTTCATTAATTTCAACTATGAACAGAGAGGCACGTACTTTGTGCTTTACATTAACACCGACAACTTGCGGTGAAACTTAAACCTTATTACAAAAATTATTTCAAGTCTAAAAAGAATAGTGCTGGATTAGCACTTTTAAGTTACGGCTAACTAGGCTGACTCGACAACCTAACAGGCGTGATAATTATTCAAATGGACAAAAGACGTTATCAGTGTAACAGCAAGGTCAGAAATAAAACGTGCGCTGGCTAGCGAAAACACGCTCTGAATAAACTCTAAGATTCACCCATTTAAATATTTACTTCACTTAACTTAAAATTTGCATCCTGGCGAAGAAATGAGGGAGGACATTGAGGAGTTCAGAAAAGGTAACAAAAATTTGAACAATAAGTTAGTTGAACTAACGGAAACCCTACGCAATTAAGATCTATTGATGACTAGAAATTCATTAATAGTATTGATAATTAATTGTTTATTGATATAAATCTATATCATGTAGTAGAGAAGAAACCATATAAAATAAATATGAAAATAATGATATGAATATAATAATAAATATGAAAATAATCACTTAGAGGGGGAAAACACAAAAAATATTTAATACATTTTAAAATCAAATTTTTTATGTAATGAGTGCAGTATATAAAGCTAAAAACGTAGGAACACAATTTACAATTCTTCATATCGATGTAAGCTGGCTCTCCAAGGGTAATTATTTTCAGAGTTTTATACACATTTTTTTTTAATACCGTGATAGAATTTTGCCTTGAAATTCACAATCCAAACGCAACACAATTAATAAATTTAAAAAAAACATACATTCTCTTTGGCTGATATCTATTCATTGTTCAATGCCACGCAGAACAAACTTCAAGAAAGAGATATCAGTCTCACTGAAATTAGGTTTTCTTCACTTTTCGTTCTAAAATAGACTTCTTTATATCTAGACTGAATCGAAAAGTATTTTATAGTTTGATAATTTAATTTGTTAATGTGATTACTTTGATAGTGCGATTGTCTGTTTCTGAAAGGGATTATATTTCCTCAGACGATATATTGTTATATATAATCCACTTACAAAATTTAAATGAAGATTTTAATATTTGCTTCCAAAACACTGAGAGTCACAATGTGCCAGCATGGATCATAAAACCGTTGAACTGCGATCTATCTGATCTGAACATTATACAAGAAGAGTTGATTGCATTGAAGTAGGATGTTCAAGCATAAGTATTATTGAAAAAATATGGATACACTAAGTTTTGGAATTCAAAATTTATCCGAGAGAAATATCCCAAAATACAAGTTGTTACCGAATAAACATTATTGACTTGTCGCATCTTAGCTAGTAAAAGCAGGTTTCTATTAGTCTGCTGAGTCAAGTCAATAATTTACTGAAGAAAACAATGAACAGATTGCATATTTTTAAACGATGTAGTCTAAGAATCAATGTAAGCAATTTTAGGCCAAATATTAAAAAAAAAAAAACGCATCAATACATTAAGCATAGCCATATTAAAATCGAACCTCTGTGGAATTAGAATCTGTGAGTTTATTTCTAAAAACTTGTTTATATCTGTAAAATTAAAAACTATGATAATACATAAATAATAAAACATAAATAAGATAAATAATTTTTTCTTTAAAAAACTTTTGTTCGTGTTTTTAGTCTAATTATTATGTTTAAAGTATGTATGTGCAATTATTTCTAATGTGATTATGTTGTATGCTGTATATTATAGAGAAAAATGTAAGAGGATCGATGAAGGGAATCCCTGGTTTAAATCCTAAACTCATAATCATGGTGATACAGTAAATACAAAACCTCAAGACATCAAAGAAGAATTATCTGTTCTTAATATATCAGTCACCAGATTCCCAAACAATATAATATCCTCAAACTATATAATTCATAAATTCTTATATCATATGCTTAAATCTATCTCAATATTCTAATTTGAAAATTAGCTATCATTCGAAAATCTTAGTAATTTTGTTGGCACCGACTAGTACACTGGATATCTGAATAGCCTAATAATTTATTTATTCCAAATTCAAAACCCCATTTTTTCTAAACCCAGGTTTATTACATAGATGCCCAATCACTCCCCGCGGATAAAGCATAGAGTGACATGAAAGAGTACTAATAATTTACTGAAGTACTTTATTAATTTCTAAGTTTTCATAACTTTACTGGGATAACTGGCTAGGTACCAACAGAAACATTTCTTAAAATTAAAAACAATTCAACAGAATGACATATAAATTTCAATTAAATTTAGATCGCTATTCACCCTATAAAAGATGAATATTAAAATTGCTATTTTTGCTCAAGAGATACTGAAGATTCCATATTCGTTTCTTTTCGAAACTTAAACTGATATTTCATTTTTTTTATTTAATTAAAATTCACTTGAAAATAATAAAGTATTTTCTTCACCTTCTTTTTCTTTACCTTCATTTTCTTCACATCTTCACCTTAAGCGATTGTAAATATTTTAATTGAAAATCAACAGATAACCATTAAAAACTCATATTTATTTGCATTATCCCGCCGGCTAAATTCATTACAGTTCCATGCATCTTACAATCCATTCCAATAGATCGTTCAGGAAATGTCCAAATAAACCAGTGGCCATGAATTTCTGCCATAGAGTAGCCACGGATATTAAACTTCGTTGGTCCATCACGTTCTTGTTTGCAGAGACACACATGGCGCAATTAAATAATCTACCATCCATCAAAAGAAAGTCGCATGTACAACGTACCACCGATGGGTTATCACACAAAACTTCATCCAGTGCCATCTGAAGAATAGTATTATAGGCCCGTGAGCAAACCCGTGTGCTGGAACCTCTAATAACAACCACTCCAAGAAATGAAATATAAATGTATTAGCATGGGGCTGCTATGCCTATGGGGCTCCCGGGCAAGTGCCCCCTTGGCCCATGCGTAGAGACGACCCTGGCACATATTAAACACAGGCATTAATTTCATTTTTTATACCTCTTAAGGTAACGACATCCGAAAGCGAAGGGAAAAAATCTTCAAAAGGGGAGATTTTAGGAATGGAGAATCAGAAACTGCTGCAGAATTCGCGTTTTTTCCCCTGAAAATGGGAGTCCTAGACCGCTGGCGAGGCAGACCAGCCCACTCCTTTCCCCCTTTTTTTTTTTTTCCTCCTCCTCCATATCTTGAAAGCCACGCAAATTTGCCCTGTTTAGACGACGAGGAAACTCAGACGAATTCTCGTTGTAAACGCCTTCTTTAAATTATTGGCAGCTTAAGAAAATTAAGATTGCTTTCCAATGGCGTAATTCTTGTTTGGCCAACTGCTTAATTCTGAAATTTTCCTTAAACCAACAGAAAAGCTGCGTCATTGATTACAGAACTCCGCAACAGGGTTTCAACACCAGTAGAAACGGATTCAAGGATCTTGCTATCTTTCGAAGCGAAAAAGTCATATTGTTTTTAACTGCCTAAATTCCTTTGACCCACACATTTTTATCTGCAACGAACGATTCATTTTGCAAAACCTAATGCTTCCTTCTTTTTCAGACAAAGGCAAGTTCTAGCAAAAGACGCAAAATTTTTTTTTTTTCATTCGCGGCCGCCTTGGAAACAACCACACCAGTAAAATCTTTGGTAACGCCCATGGCTACTTAACTCCCTCAAGCCTCTACTCAGAAGTCTACTCACCCTTTTTCTCAATAAAAAAACTCCACAAAGTCATCATTCGTCCTATATGTACCTATGCTGCCGCACCAGTAAACAACACAGCCATGCCAGTAATATCCTCAGGAACGCCTATGGCTTTCTAAACTTCTTCAAGCCTCTACTCAGCAGT